AAAAAAAAAAAAAGAAAGTATGGAAATGTATCTTTACTTCCAGATAGTATTCCTATCTTGGATTTGACATTTAATTTTATTAAAATAATTTTGATGCATGGATGTTATACATTTTTATGGGATTTATCAGTTGATCCTTTGTGATTTCTTAATTTTATGCTTTGAAAAATGTTTCCTATCCCAATGTCAAGCCTCTGTAGGTTTACTGCTAGTTTTATAGCTGATTTATTTATTTTTTGACTTATAAATCCAAGTGGACTTTACTGTGTTGGATAGAACCAAATACAGACTTCTAAATTTTTGGGTTTTGCCATCTCAAAATAACTTGTAGCCAAAATACAATTGAATTCTTATTTACTTTTAATGATTCTTTGCTCATTGCAGAATAGCTCTCCAGACCCCCAGCTGGCCATGTGGTGAGTTCGGGGCCCAAATCAAGTAGTAAGTACCAGCAATCAGGGAACTCCCTCTATCTGTTTTGAATGGATTCACACCAGTCACAAGCCTGGAAAGATGGTGTCACAGTCTACAGTCAGGCAGGATTCTCCTGAGGACCCCTGGGAAAGGATCACCCATTACTCTGGCATTATTGATGGATCGCCTGGACTCCTGAACACTGACCATCCTCCTTGCCAATTAGACATCAGGCTCATGAGGCACAAAGCTGCCTGGATCAACCCCCAGGATGTGCAGCAACAGCTGCAGGACTTGCAACCTCAGGTGCCAGCAGCCGGGAACAGTGGGACCCATTTTGTGACAGATGCTGCCTCTCCCTCAGGCCCTTCATCTTCGTGCCTCAGGGACTCCCTAGCAGAGACAACATTGTCTGAGGCTACTACAGACTCCATTGGCAGCGCTTCTCCCCATGGCTCGAGGGAAAAGAGTAGCAGCTTCTCTCTGTCCTCAACAGAAGGACACATGGTCCACCCAGGATACTCTCATCGAGTGTCTCTGCCCACAAGCCCTAGGATTTTGGTCACCTCCCCATATCCTGAGACTGACAGTGCTTTTTTTGAGCCTTCCCACCTGACATCTGCTGCTGCTGAAGGTAATTTTAGTAGGTGACCTCCCTCATTCCTCTCTCTTCACACCCTTGCTTTACCTTGCTCTAAAGCCTGCTTTATTGTCTTCCCCATGGGAGAAAAGTTCGTGGGTTTCCACTTTGACCACATGCCAGTGCATTGCCTCATTTAATATTAGTCAGCAGCCCGGCCAGCTGGGTGGTCACAACAGGTGAAATCTAGTATTGGCTTTCTCCTTAGACTGCAGAGAATTGTTACCTTTTTAGCTTAACGTAGTTGATAATCAATGCCATGTGCCATCTTGAAGCTGCTGTCTGCCTTCAGGAACTTAGAGTTCATTAAATGGTCTGCAAGGGAGAGCATCAGAAGCACTCTCAAGTCAGTGTGGGGGTTGGAGGTGTTTTCAGACAGTCACAGAGGGCTCCATTTCACACCAGTACCTAGTAGGTGGTGAACTCACTTCACTTGTTATATTTATCTGTAGAGAGTCTGACGGGAAAATAGGAAGATTTTAAAACAATAACTACAGTACCCCCCGACGACTATACCAAACCCCTTTTTATTAAAACAAGGGCTCTCACTGCTATGAAGTAATGTACATATGCCTAAGACCCTGAAATTCGTAAAACTTGGATAATCCATGCAAAGTGCTACTCAAGAGTCAATAAATTAGCTGTCACTGTTATCTGTGACATGTTTATTTCATTTTTAAATATTTATGTTATAGTCACACTTGTCATTATTAATTTACATTTCTATCAGAACCCTAGTACAAATAATTAATGAAGCTTTTTCTTTCCAAGCAATTTAAAAAGTCATCAGTCTGCCTGCTGCCTGCCTATTTCTCTATATGTTTATTTCTGACTAGCAGGAGCTCAACTTTGTTATTCGTTCTTTTGGAATGTTCTTTGGAAATGTTGGGGCAATCAAAGATGATGACAGTCTGTAACACATTTATTCATTGCTTAAGAAGAACACATTTTGGATAATCTTTCAATGGTTAATTTTGAGATAAGGACCAAGTGTAAGCGAAATGACAAGACTGATGACAGGCCTTTGTTTTTGTTTTTGTTTTTTTTTCTATTTTTTTGCTCACTTGCTTCGATAGTTCTAAGATGTAAGAGTGACTTGCAAATTTAGTAATGGCTAAGTGAGAGATTAGTCTTAATAGACTGTCTCATAGACGAAAGGCCTCTCCCCAACAGAGCACCACCATAACGACAAGTTATAATAAACTGAAGGTGATCTTTGGGGCCTAGGATGCCCTTGCCTGAAACCTTTTGTTCTATCACGGTACAGGAAGTCGTACTACAATTTACAATTATCCTTTAGCTTTGTCTTTTTCTCAGAAAGAAAACAGGTACCCCCGCCCCTGTTGCCCAAAGACAAGGACTCGAGCAGCTCCTGCCAGCGCCTTTAGAAACAACTCACAGAGCCGGGCGCGGTGGCTCACGCCTGTAATCCCAGCGCTTTGGGAGGCCGAGGCCGGCGGATCACGAGGTCAGGAGATCGAGACCATCCTGGCTAACACGGTGAAACCCC